CTTTTTTTTCCGTTGAGAACAAATAAAGTAATTAGAAATTGACTTCAGGCAGAGGGAGGAGCAGAAACAAGGTATGTAATAAGTTTTGTCTGAACTGTTTTTCTTTTGTAATGAATGCCCTGGAGCCGAGGGATTAGTTATGTCCTTCATAGCTGTTCTTATGGTCCCAAAGCCTTCATGGCTTCCCCAAAACCAGGGAGCCGCGAGGCACCAGCCCTCTGCTCTGCTGGCTCCGGAGCACCTATCGTGTCCCTTGAGGAGCTGTGCGTATGTAATGACTAATAGCCGTGTTCGATTGCCAGTTATTTCCTCATGGAGTGCATGAAGCCTCGGCTATGATTCTGAAGATCCTAGGTTTAAACCTTTCTGACAGTCTGCATGGGTAAAAATAATGTCTGAGCATATCATCAAAACACACTGTGGTGGTGCAAATACACAATTACTTTTGCATAAAAGAAGTTTACTCCAGCGTTTCCTAGCTTTTATACTTTTCATGTTTCAATTTCTTTTGATAGAGGCTTTCAAAAATGAGCACTAGCAGGGTGATTAGAGGACCCTATTTTCACTTGCCTTTTTACTGTTGCCAAACTATGACCATTTTGCCTAAAACCAATGTTACACTGCCAGCTTGCTGTAGGCTACAGGAATTTTTGTATTTATCCACGCACTGGAATGTTTTAGCAAAAAGCTTGGATTATTTACAAGAACAAATGAGGGGAAAATATGTAATTTTATATCTATCGAAGGAGTAGCATTTATGCCAGAGATGTGTTTTTGCTGTCCTGTGACAATCGGATCTGTTTGGCCTGTGTTGTTCAGATACACTCAGTGCTGCCTGTTCAACTTGACCTTTTTCCAGGAATTTAACTGCTCCGCAGACAGCGCATTCCCCAGGTGATGGCTGGGCAGTTCTTCCCTTGCGACCTTGCCAGAGCCTGAGACGAGGAGCCTGCTCCCCCTTGGCAGTCGGCTGCTCCCAGTCTCTACCTGAATAAAAGCAGCCTAGAGAAGGAGGGCTCGCGCCCTGTTTGCGTACGGAGGGGATCGTCCACGTTTGGAGGATCGTCACCTCTAACTCGCAAAGGGACGAGAGCAGGCAGGGGGTGGGGGGACGGGCACCTGACTGGGGGAAAAGAAATTGGAGGTGGGAAATGGGGAGGAGGGTGCTGGCTCGGCTCGCGCGAGAGGGAGCGAGGCGAGCCTCGGAAACAGCAGAGCAGCCTCTCCACCAGGAAACATTTTGTCCTAAGCTGGGACTGTATCTCTGTGGTCAGCAAATATCTGTGAAAACCTCTGACCATTCTGTAATGCTGGTGTTCAAAAAGGATCACAGGCTATTCGTGCTGTCAGCTACGGGGTTAGTTCAAGTGACTGCAACGTGCACATCGGTGCCAAAGATTTTAGGCCTGTTGGTTAACCTTGGATGTCTGCGTAATGCCATGTGATGAATGTCCAGTTTGTTTGTGTTTTAAAGCTTAGGAAATTTTAAATCCTGTCAAAAATATTAGTAGGTTTTATATTTGCCATCCTATTGATATTTTTAAGCTGAGCACGCAAAACTGCATTTTAAAATGCCTACTCAAGCTTTATTCAGACCTAGCATGTGTGTGAATTATGATTCAGATCTTAATGGCAGGATAATATACAGTTGTTTTCCTAGGACCCTAATCTTGTTTATTGTTCAGATTACATCTGATCTGAGGATAAATATGGCATGTGTAATGAAATATGCTTCCTAGAAAACTAGTAATTTTTTGCGATGTTGGAAAATCGGGATAGTAAAGAGGACAGGGATTGCAGGAGGGAGGGTCTCATAATTAAGATGATTGAGTGGTATCTTGGAAAGTATGATGTGTGTCTGCCTATATTGCTGAGCTTCCCGTGATCAGGTCACTTCCAGTCAGAATTTTTATTAATGTCCTCTTATTTTGTGTCTCACTTTCTGAGTGTCTGACTCGAGAAATACTGAGCCCTCACAGCTGCAAATGAAATTAGTGTTTGATCATGCAAAATGCTGTATAACACTAAACATTCTGGAGAAGCAAGTTCTAAATGATTCATATTGTGTTTCTGAAATTGGTAGATACCTCTGACCTTGTTTTTTGCCATCCTCCATTCTTTATCTATAAAATGGAGATAAATTTTCTGCCTTATCTCACAAGAATATTAGGAAAATAACACAACTCTGAGAAGCGAAGCATTCAGGTGACATAGACTGACATGGACCGTTGAAAAGCCATTCTGTCTTCAGAACAAGATTTGAATACTGTCCAATAAATATGTCAGAAAAGTTCGGAGTAAGTGAGCAATGTCAAGAAAACAAAATATTGAATAGCCATCACTGAATGAGCGCTGGACATCCTCACCACTGAATAAGAATGGGGTGTAAAAAGAGTACGGGTGTGTGTGCAACTAAACACTGTTATCATAGCAAATACATTTGTAAAAGCTTAATTCAGTCCCAACATCCGATCTGAGGATTGTTAATTTTGACTTTTCCCATCTCAGGCTTTTCAAATTTATAAATGTCCTTCAAGCTTTACTTTTTGTTTAGAATATCTATAGAGAGAGAGCACAGCACTGACTAAGAGGCTGTATATATGTCAAAGATTTTTTTCCTTTTTAACCACCAGTTTAAATCCAGGCCAATGTAACAGCATTTACAGTCATTCCCTGTTTATGATATTAGTTAACCCCTATGCAAGAGGAATTTTCCGAGTCTCAGTTTTGTTTGCTTTTCATCACCTTGCTCTGAATCCATTTGGCAGACTTAGCAAAAAGGTCAATAATTGCACAATCAAGGAAACTGTACTACGTTTCCCCTAAAGGAAGTCTTCTCCCTCACTCCTCAGTGAGGCTAGAGACGTACCAACAGGGAGTCGAGAAGGTTGTATTATTTCACTTGTCTCTGTGCCTCCCCCCTACCAGATACCCTCTACCCTGTTTGCAGATTACTGTACATTTTTTTGGAAAGAAAATGTGACTGAAAGATCTGCAAGGTGCTACCTACCACGCAGTTTTTGGAAAGAATCTGATTAACCCTGGCTTCTCCTCAGACCTTCCTTTTCCGTATCTATGCCTCGTCTCATAAGATCTAAATTGTACGTTGACTCCTCAGTCAAGTTTCTTTTTCAGCAGGCAAACATAAGAGACACATAGCATAGTTTAAGCTTTGCTGATGTAAAAAATGGGACATCATGGACCACGGTCAAAGCCCACAGCCATACTTAACCTTCTTAGGTCAAGTATAATAGGAAGAATTGCAGGTGAACGATACCATACCAGAACACTAGTTTCAACGTGGTGAAATGCAAAAGCCACATACCATTGCTAATGCTATGTACAGGGTCCTTTTTTTGACTACATAAATTGCTAGATTTCTCTGCGTGTTTCATGGGCAATGTACTACAAATAAATATAGAGCATTTGTTCTGTTTCAACAATAAGGTATTTCATCTCACCTGGGGACTGAACTTTCCTGCTCTCCGTGTATTACTTTTATGCATTTTCTTCCCTCACAGACAACAAACAACCCAACACACGTTCTTTCCTTGTGCTGCGTACAGCCGGTAGTGGGCTGTAGCAGGCAGTTTGGGCTGCCTCTCACGTTACACCTACCTGCACAGTCTCAAAGCCAGCAATGAACTGAACATTCAGCACATTGTAAATATATACATTTGTTAGGCTTTTTTATTGAATCCTTATCTCTATGAAGAAAGGAGCCTAAAAAAGTGGTAAGGTATTGAATAAAGGGAAGCTGTGTGTGTCACATATTGTGACATAAGGAAAAACCGAGCAGAAGTAGAGAATAAGGATGTTCCACACAGCCTCCTAATACAGTTTTGCAGCTATTACTGTTGCCTTCAGAGGTGTGTACATTTTAAAAGAATAGCCACACAGCTTAGCCTTTGCCTACTAAGTTTTTCAGTACCACTTGTTTCATGATACTGGGTTCATAAGCGATAGCCCTGTGTGTGTATGTTGTTCAGCTGTGTCTTCTGCCTGGCTTTCCGTACCTCACTATGGCCAAAACTGAGTCAGTAATTAACAAAGGAAAAAGTTTCAATTTTACTTTAATTTCCACCATACTTTACCAAAGCTAAATCATAATGTCATGTCTTTTACATACCTCTAGTGTCAAAGAACCCTTAGAGGGAGAGTGAAAATCTTTTTATTTATCCTGATTGAAAAATAAGGTTTATTATGCAAGGACTGTGTGCTTGTGGACAACCGTGTAGCCTGTGTCTCAGTTTCCTCATCTGTAAAATGGATGTAATGTTTCTACAACTCACCAGGGACTGCAAGGTTTAATTAGCATATATGATTGCGTTAGACAAATGCTACTACTGTCACTGCTCATTTTTATTAAAAGCTGTCAGTAGAGTATGAAGACGAAAGACTTGGAGAGTAATGCTACAACCAGGGTGATCCCTCTGTACCTTCTGTCTGTGGTATCATTTATTTCCAAACTACACCACAAAGTAGGTGTAAACATTTGAGGAAAAAGTATCCTTGTATTGTAATGACATAGAAGTCAAAGGGTTTGATGTAGCTGTTGATAGATGTACATCTATCAACAGCTACATCAAACCCTTGGATTTCTATGCAAAACACTTGCTTTTAAAGGAAACATGCCTATAGATACAATTAAATACCTTGAGTAAATTTGGATTTTATTCAGAAAATTTTCGTGAGGAAAATCTATTCCTATGTACAGAATCCAGTATTCAAGCGCACTAGGCAAAAACACACAACTATTTCCATGTCAGCCTAAAAGAACGTATAGCAAGTGTCTTGCTGTGTCTGTGCGAGTAAACCTGAACAGTGGGGAAAGAGAGCGTTTAGAAGTATGCTATGGAAAGTATATTTTACTGCAATTATTCTTTTTTTTTTTCCTCTCTCTGTTTCTCTTGTTGATAGATGTACGGTCTCCCTCTCCCTCTCTCTCCCTCTCTCTCTCTCTCTCTCTCTCGCTCGCTCCTGAAAACCTCCTGCCACAGCGACTGCATTTGCCTCCAGACTTGTCAGACACAGTGAGCCGCTCAAGCAAACAGGATCTGGCAGAATCCGCCAAACTGCTGAGCTCAGGATGTGGTGCGATGGCCATCGGCAAGAAGCACCTGGACTTCTAGTGATTTCTACTTAGCAGTTTCCCTCAGATTTATATGACACTCTAATTATGAGTGTTAATGACTTATATAAATATTTTTCTTAATGATTTGACCCAGCAGTCTTTAAAAATGCACATTATCGTATGGTGCCTCTTTTTCCTGTTCTGATTTCTTTGTACTAATTTTTGGCTTGTTTGGGTTTTGCTTTTTGTTAACGCTTCTGTTACACTGGGTCCTGCCATTATTCTGCTCTATTGGAATTGTACAGTATTTTGTTCCTTTCCTTAAAATATGAACATTACTTTTGTTTTTTCAGTTCTAGGTGTTTTGTACAATAAAACTGAAGGGCTATTTTTCCCAACAGAATTTTTGTATGCATATATTTAATGTTTTGTATGACTAGTAAGTTAAGTTGGACTGTTTATTGAAATAAATGAATGAAACTAGGGAATTCATTGTCACATGTTATTCCAAAAGCAAACTGCACAATTACTGTTTTTAAAAGCATTCATTTTTATATTTGAAATACCATTATTAAATTTCAGAAAGTATTTGCCTTGATTTATAAAATATACAATGACAATTTAAAGTTGTTTAAGATATTTTTATTCTAATATGCTAGTAATTAAGAAAGGTTGGGTTTTGGTCAGAATGTATGACAGGTAATTACTTTGCTCTCTGGGTTAATTCATTTATTAAAACGCAGTTGAATGGAATTTACCAAACATAGAAAAAAGAACTGATTTCTTTATGTAGTTCAAAACAGTAATCCTAAACAATTGAAATCAGCACTATGAAATTATGTCAACAGACATAATTCAAGATTGAAATTCAAACCGACAGCTACACTCATGCTAGAAAACCAGAAGAGCGCACTGGAGCTTGGGGAAGAGCATCACAGCATGCTGGTCTAAAACAGGGCAGAAAATAAAACTAATTCAGGTCTCTGTACCATCGTATATGGTATTTGTGAACTTACAACTATTTTGTACGTATCTGTGCATATATCTCATCAAATAAAAGCTGTTAAATATTTTTTAAACATGGATCAGATGCTTGGCAATGCTGACCTGTAAATCAAAGTGTTTTGTATTATTTCTTCTGTGGCTGACTTCCATTTTGAAAGGTAATCTAGGCGTCTCTACAGAACTGGTAAGGCATCCAAGTGTAAGATTGCATTATGGTTTCAAAATTCAGTCTTTATAATAGTATATTACATGGCTGGAATGAAAGTGACTCTTCAAAGAACTTGTTAATATGATGCAATAACGTTAACTTCTTTTGATGGGTTTGAAACCAAGAGTTGGTTAAGTGGTTTGCTTTTTTTATGCAATCCAGGTTCTACTTTATTTTTTCTTGACAACACTGTGTAAAACAAAGACATAGCTTTTAAAACTGTCTAACTAATATGATGAATGTCAATCACTTAAAAAACTCCACTGTAGCATAAACACACACTGTATACAGCTTTTATTCTGAATTAGAATAATTGAATCAATGACAGTGATTTGCCAGGATGTCAAATCTATCCATCATATCCTGTCACTACCAGTTTATTTTTTGTGATCAAAATCAAAAAGACTACTATTTTGTCATCAGCTATTTCATTAGTAGTAACAATCAGGTTTTCTCTTCTGTATTTTTTAGATATGCCTGTTATACTTTTTTATTTCTAAAGACACAAATCCTTTTTAAATCTTTTCAAAATAAAGTTTCAGAACTGAACTGTCAGTTTAATAAAGCAAAAAGACATCTACTTTTCTATGCCAATATATTTAAAATATTATCATTGATGTCTCAAACATTTTTTCTCTTTTTGTATTATGTGTAACATTGAATGGAAGTTCTCATTAGATACTTAACAGTGCCTTTTGAAAGCATGAAATGATTTAAATATGTAGGATAAAGTGATTTTTAACAAAGGTGAAGTTTTATATATTTCAGATTTTTTTTTAATATAAATAACACAAAACACAGTATTTCTTTGTGAAATATGATGTCGAAGGGCATATAAATTGCTGCCAACATATTTAAATAGGTCATTGACTTCTTAACATGCAGGAGGGAAAATATCATGAAAGTCACAGTCAATTTCCAGTTAACATATTAGCTGAAAATTGTTAGCAAGTAGCATGAGCATTGCACATGTGTGTGTAATTCCTGTGCATTTATAAGACTTCCGTTTCAAAAACTTCAGTAGGTTAATATTCAGGCTAACAAACATACTGAATAATAAAGAGAACTCCTACTGCAAATCTCGATTAATCTTTTTCTGAATCACTAAACATGCTTTGTAAAATAAGTTTTACAGTATAAAGATGTACAGTGTCATTTACCTAAGGCAAAAACATGTAGCAAAATTTCTGTTCTTCCAAAATTTTGTATCAGTTACAACAGCATATGACAGTGACTTGGCTTATCTAGCAGACTGATATGTGAAATAATGCTGTGTATGTGCTACTTGATAGTATGTAAGCCGAAGATCTCGTTTCTTACACCAGAAGACTCCGTCCCTCGTTTTGACTTGGGAAGCAGGAGGAATGTTTAGATGGTGATTTTCTGTGAATTTCCCCCAGAACCACTCTATGGCTGTCAAAGTCTGTATACAAAAACCCCTTTGGTTTCTTCTTCTCTTGATTTGAAGACAAATGCTCTGAGGGGGTGCGTCTCAGGTGATGGGCGGAAGGGCGCAGCCTCTCTCGACAGGCCGACGGGCCCATGTAATGTGTTACCAGCTGCATTTTGCAGCTTCAGAGCCCCCTGGTTGACTTGGGTGGAGAATTTGCACAAGATTGAGTGCAACCCTGACTTGTGCTCAGAGGGCTCTTTTTGCTCCAGAGCAGGCGTTACTGATTGCAGTGCAAGGTCTTTTTGTTTGTTGCAGTTTTTAAGCAGAACTTCCTACTTTTTAACAGGCTACAAACTGAAACCACCTAACTCAGCAAGGAAACAATAGCTTCGTTCCAGTGAAGACATTCCCAATTCAGAGTTAGAACCTGATCTTTACATAATTGTGACACACAGTCAAGAAAGCAGTAATGAAATTTAAAACGTTGTGCCTTTAATATGTCAAACAAGAATTCTTTATATAATTTCTGTTGTGCTGAGGTTTTCAAAATATAAGTATTTGGAACATGAGAAGAATATTATGATAGATTAAGTCTTTTTCTATGTTTGTAAAGAAATTTGAAAAGCAATTTCAAGGATGCAGCTGAATTCAATTTTCTGTAACAGTAGCTGCAAGCATCTGAAAATGGCCACTGAACTACTTCAAATTTGATACATATGGTAGTATGCCACTGATTTCATCTTTGAATTTAATGCGGAATAGCAGTGTTGTTCCAAACACAGCTTTTGGAAAAGTGCAAAGTAACTGGCAAAAATCCTGTACCGTGCCAGTTTTGGAAAGTGGTCTGTTAATCAAGGATATCTGAAACCACAAGGTTGTAATACATGTATATGCACATTTGAAGTGTATATATATATTACATACATTATATGCAGACTTTAAGCCAATGTTTATCCAGAATCACGTATTAGAAGTTTAATAAAATATTCTTCTTTTTCCTGTGTTGGAGAAACACCACTCATATCTACAGAGCACAATAAAAACAGGAAAAAAAGTGGGTTTTATCCCTTTAAAAGTTGGTGGAAGCAAATACTAGCCCCACGTGACTTCTGCTGGGGTTTATATTTTCTGATGTGGGCTATTAGAGTGCAGGACCTATATTTTTCTTTTTTTTTTTTTTAATCATACTGAGTACATGGTTGATGCTTATTCAATAATAAAATGTATCTGTGTAGAAAAAGAATGAACATGAATCCTCTTCATCTTAAGAGGAAAAAAAACAACTTCGATGCAAAAGAAACCTCCCACCAAAAAACAGATCTACCACTATTTAATCTAATTTAAATAAATGTTAGTCTCAGAGTTTTCAAGGGAATGGTTCATTAATACTGTGGATACCTAGATCTATATTTCAGTGTCTGAAGAGACAGACAGATTTTCAGAAGCATTGAGCATACAGCATCCTGGGCCATCTGCTGAAAACTTAGCTGCTTATTTAAGCTCCTCTTTTAAACAATTTTGAAAGTTACTATGCACATTAAACCAATTTGCAGACCTTTTATTTATATCAAAATATAGACATCTTTTGTACATTTTCCTTTTTTTTTTTTTTTTTTTTGCAAATGTATTTTCTGGTCCTTTAGAGCTTAATCTAGGAAAATCTTCCAGAAAAGTCAGTGAGCATTTAGACCAAGAACAAGCTGATGGGATTAGGTCCAGGGGGCCTTTCTAAAAATTTTACCAAACCTGGAGAATTTGTAGCTGCATATTCCTCTGTATTTTTATGTCTTCTAGCATTGAAGGTAAATGTTCAATTCAAAACATAATGAGAATCAAAGGAAAATTCTTCACTCTATATAATCTGGCAGAGTTTGAGCCTGACTATTCATGCCCTCACAATGCTATCAGCACTTAAACCGTCAGAGGTATTCCCGTAAGTCTTGAAACAGGAGAATTTTGATGTACTTTCATCTACCTTTTGTGGGGGAGGAGGGGTCAGACTGGAGCAAACCACACTCAGTATATCTGAAAGCTCTTCCTTGCTGAAATCTCGCTGGATTAGACTTACAGCAAAAGAGAAGTGAGGTCTGTTTTGGTTTTGGATACAAAATCGAGCTGTTTTCAGTGCCAATATTCAGGGAAAGCAATGACCGTGTGGAGAAAAGGCTGCAAATTTATTTTAAATATATTGCTTGAGTGAGACTTTTCTGCAGTTCTTCATATGCATTTGTTTATATAATCGAAGCATCTCAGAGTCATTACTTGTAGCCCAGGACTGGCTTGTGCTAGGCAGCACTCGTCCTGGAGCTTGTACCCATGCAAATCACATTTGCCTTCCTGCCCAATTTTAAATCGATGGGACAGATGTAATTCTAGCAGGAGCTGATGTGAGTGCTGGGCCCCATTGCTTCCAATTAGTAGTCGTGACTGGAAACTGCAGCTCCACCACTTGGTTGCTGACCAGTGAAAGGTGCACAGGTCAGCTCCCTCCCTGGACGGCTTCCACATCTGTAGGGAACCAGCAGATGAGCTGGTCAGCCAACAACAGCTGTACATCTGTTATCCATCATGTATAACCAAATCCCTGCCACCAAATGGCCTTGCACTTGGAAAAGCTAAACTAATGCATAAAGCTGAACTCAGTCAAGACCAAATTGAGAGTGATAGGCAGAGGAAAGCACTTGAAAGGCTTCTCAAGCACAATGTGATTTCCATTCATAGCGCTTCCTAGCCTAAGTCTAGGATGGCTCACCAATTTCAGAAAACCACTTGAATGAAAAGGAGCTTTACGATAAACTCTTGGAGCACAGAGGAGTAACAAGTCCATCTGTGTGGGAGACTGCGCTCAGGAGTCATCTGAAAACCTGAGTTCTTCCCAATGAGCAAAGGGTCATAAATACGGCGTTTCAAATGTGCACCATAAATACATCACATTCAAGCAAGCAAATAAAACTTTAACCACAACAAAACACTGGGAAAGAGGATGCAAGAACAAGCAGTATGGTAGTTAGTCACAGTTACCTAATGTGTGGCAGAGGCGCTTGGACGGCACAGCACATAAGCACAGTACAAGAACGTATGCGATGGACTAGACTATGGATCTGAACGGATATGGAATAGATGGAGCAGTTTTACAGTCCTGGCCCAAACAAAGCTCTATGAATTTTTAAATTTGTCCCTGCCCAAGCAAGTGTAAGTCAACAACAGTTCATGCGGACTGACTGAATCATAAATCAGAAAATTATCAGACCCAGTAGAAGCTTAGTTTAAGTAAGAATTGCAGGGCTCATGCATAGTTTGTAAAGGAACACTATTGACTTTTAAATATGGAGAAATCAAACGATACATTTTGCTTCTTTAAAAGCAAAATGTTACAGAATTTGAATTACTGAATTTTTATTTAATCCAATCTGACAGAGGGGAGTTTTAAAAACCTTTCCTTGCAGTGCTTAAGAACCAACACTGCAGACTGTAGAACCTGAGTGTGAAGCCAGCTTTGCAGAGAGAAATGTAAAGAGTTAAAAACATAAACAGTTACGAAGAAAAAATATAATTTTTCTTCACTTGTGGTAAACTAACACATTAACGATAACAACCTAAAGAAGTTTATCCACTGCATGTGATTCCGTATAGATGATAACCTTTCTGGTGCCCTATATGTAATTTCTGTGGAATAGCTGTTCATAAACTTCTCAAAAGCTGTTGGCGTAGGCCTGATGTGGAAGAGGTTATCTGTGAATCTGCAAGCTCCTCTGGTGCAGCTGGAAAAGCTCGTATGTCCCAAGAGAGGAAAAAACTGCAATTCATGACCCGTACAGATTTTAGCTGCTCGAGAGTGTACGTGAGGTCTGGCAGGTGCCTGGAGGCAACTGCAGCCTCTGCTGGAGGATTTCTCGCAGCTTTCAGCTCCTGCCAGGCATGAGACGGTAGCGAGAGTCCTTGTGGGTACCCACAAAAACCTCCACTCACCATTTCACCCCACTGCAATTTGGCACAGGCACAGATCAGCCTCCCCACACCTGAGAAACCATAAACTCGACCATCCCAGCAAAAACAATATTGTAATCTTCTGTGTGCACGCTGTACCTCCATCACACAAGCCACAGATGTACATCTTTACCTTCACCCCCCCCGCTTCAAAATTATGATCATCTCACTAGGCCATCATGGTGCAATATTACCCAGAGGGAAAAAGGGACTAATATGAAAGGCCCCTCAAGGTCTTACTGTGTTGAGTTAAAATATAGTCATTGGTGGTTCTTAATGAAACTTCAGGGAAAGCAAGGTTCTTGGGGACTTTCCTTTAAAAGGCCAGCTTTTAAAGAGACAACAAGGATCCCGGCAACTGGCCTTCTCATGACAAATTTGTTGTACATATAAAAAGACTGATCAAAGGGTGTCATTTCTTTGCGGTTTCATTTCTGCAGCCTCTCTGAAAACACCTTCATCTTTCAGGAGATTGCTATTGAAAACCACTGTCGGACAGTGAACTACACAAAGGCGCTGTGCTCTGACCGAGGACAGGGTGTGGGTTGGGGTGGGGGGCAGTTCAGCTCTTTACTACCATGCAATGGTATTTCCATTCCTCCGCTATTTTCCAACTCTGCTATTTTCTTTAAGAACGACTAAACAGGTAACATATGTGAGAGACTTACCTAGCATCATTCCCTAACAGTAATCTAAAGTGAGCTTTATAAGTGAGCTCCATGCTTTCTTTTCCACCAAGAGAGGAGGCCCGTTTCCTCCACCACCACCACGCAGGCCAGGGCAGGGGCTCCAGTGGTCAGTGCACACTTCAGCCATGGATGCGCTCTCGGGGCTGCCTTCTCTCAGCAAGAAGAAACACACATACTCGTCATCTGAACAAGACCTAACATCAGTTAGTCTCTACTCTTAATTCTGTAAATCATATGCCTGTTTTTACTGGAGGGAGGATTTGCATATGGGTACATTTGCAGGTGACAGTCACAGTTTTGACTGGAAACAGGACTGCAGGAGCTCAGTAAGCAAGCAGGTATCTTGTCAAAGAAGAATTATATAGAAGGAAGATGCTATGCCGTTCCGTGTGGCTCCCGAGCAACACGCTTCCCAGTTCACCACTGTCCTGAGAAGCCACTATTATGAAACTACTCCAAGTTGCCAAGAGCATATAAACTTTCCTATCTTGGTTTCTAAGGCAAACAAAAAGCACTTTTCATTTTTAAGAAATGCCCATGTGAAAGGAGGGCCATGAGAGTCCTTGTACCCTTAGCACTGGCAAGAACCATGGAGCAGAAGAGACTTAATAAGCTGCACGTGGATCTGTGCTCGAAAGAACTGGAGGGGGAAAAAAAAAAGAGAGACATTCTCAGTTTTACTACTAGTGTTTATACCATTGAAACAGAGGTGAAAAAAATAAAAAGCTTAGACTAACTCTAAGCCTACACATAATACCCAGAGAACGTGAGATAATGTTTTAGTCAGTAATATCAGCAAATCAATCAACACAAAAATACCAAAAACCTGTGAAGTGGATGAAAAACAAGAGAAGTGAAGGAAACAGAGCCAGCAGCGTATGAAGGCCCTGGGGAGGGGAGGTGTGTCACCAGTCCCGGGTTGTTCCTTGCATCTCTGTATTCTTGCCCCAAAAGATAAATTCACTGTTTGGCTGCCTAGGCTGAAGCAACCTATAGGGGCATTTTGCTCACTTTGTAAATAAAGACGTAGCTAAATAGGAGCAGTGAAATCCCCTCTCTGCTATTCCCAAGGCTTTACACTCTGGGTAAGAAAGCGGCTCTTCCTGTCTCATTAAGCAGGGCGCACGCTGGCTTCTGCTTCCCTTTTAGAAACAATTAAAACTGGTATCTGGACAGCGCAAGGTAATCCCGGCACGCGTGTCACCGCAAGCATGCCTGCTTCACCAGCGGCGTGGATGGCTCATCAGCTGTCTGCTCCGCACAGTAACTGTTAGGTTAGCAGCCTTTTCACTTGTAAATGTAAATATTGTATCTAGAACACAATATTTGAAATACCAAATACAGTGTTATTAAGACGGCACTCACACATCAATTCTTGTGTGACTATAATTTGTGAAATGCCTCAAGAGAGGCTTATAAATAAAGTATAAGGCGTTATTATGAAAAACCGTTTTAACCCAATGCACAGAAATGTCTTGTTGCTATTGAAATCAACAGCAAAACTCCCACTGATTTCAGTGGCAAAGGGAGGAGACCCTTGGAAATACGCATGCTGCACAGAGCGCTACGTGCTAGCGGATTGCAAGCTTTGTAAGTAACGCAGCTCTGAAAGAACAAAATGAAAGACAATGGGTATTAGACGCTGTTCAGAGCATGCCGAAGATATTAATTTTCTGCTTATGCTCCTGCAATATATCGGTGCCTGACCGGGCAGCCCGTAGCCCCGCGCACACGCCTGGGTGCAACTCCCTCGGCCTCGCGGCCCTTGGGTGCCGGTGCAGCGCTCGTGGGAGCCGAGTGGTGCCGGTTCTC